ATATCTCCCAAATGAAATAACATTATTCCTAAACGTATATGCGGATTTTCAATGGTTTGAAATTTTAAAACTAGCAACCCTAAACTTATTCAAATGTACCTATGTTAGTTAATATCTTGGAAAGTACTCCAAATCAGTATTTTGTCAAACATAAATGAGAAAAGAAGAGCTGCAAGCAAAACCTGTTGCACAGTGATTAAACACGTATGTCTCCCTCACTCATGGTTTATATAAATACATACCATGATTTCATACCTTAATCCAACTTTCATTCAGAAACAAAGACTCAAAGAAGAATTTCTTAAAACTCAGGGATAATATGACCAAGTACAAGCTCATTGTTTGATCTATAGCCCTCTGAAATGAAAATATAAATCATTTTAACTTCTATGTATTTTTCTTAGTGAATTTATTAAGGAGACTTAAAGTTTCTAAATACTAAAGCAGAGGAATAAACATTCTTTTCTCTTTCTGGTTGTGGATTGGGGATTAAACTCAGGCCCTCAGACTGAGCTACCTCACCACCCCTTTTATTTTTTTGATACATGGTTTTGCTAAGTTGCCCAGGCTGGGGGCAAACTTGGACTCCCCCTACCCAGCCTCCCAGAGTGCTTAGATTTCAGGTGTGTGTGCCCCCATGTCCAGCTTGAATGCTGTCTTTTTCCCTAGTTATGTTATGCCTGATACCATCTGGCACTCTTAATGATCCACAAAGTGAATATTATCTCTGTTACACAGGTGAAGCAGAAGCTTCAGACATTAATTAAGGCTGAGCTTGTATTGTAGCCAGACTCCTGTGAAGACAGTCCTGATTCACAACAAAACTGCAGGGTCCTCATGTATACTCTATACTAGTTAGGACTTCCTTACCACAACTGCAGAGTGCTCAGACTGTATGAGTATTTAAAGATATAATCAAAGAATAATAGTAATTCAAAATACATAAAACCATTAAGGAAAATAAAAACAGTAAGTTGAATAACAAAGCGTTTTAATGACCTGGAAAAGATAATCAATACAACACAATACATTCCTCATACTCCCTTTGTAATATTTATTCTGTGACCTTTCCATTGATACGCTTTAAATTTTACTCTTTTTTTTTTTGGTACCGGGGATTCAACTCAGGTCCTTGCCCTTGTGCAGCAGGCAGCAAAACCACTGAGCTAAATCTCTGGCCCTAAATTGTAATCTTTTCAGGGCCACTTTTATCTTCTCAGGATGAACACAAGAAATTTCAATGCCCAACTCTGACTGCAGGCCTTTTTTCTTTGTATCAAACTCACGACCTTGTGCTTGAAAGGCAGGCTACAGCATCACTGAGCTAAATCCCCGGCCCTCAGACCTTTAACTGTTGGTAAAATATCTAGCAACATCAAGGTAAAAAATGTTTATTTTCTTCCTACAGCTGCAAAATTTCCTAACTATTCTGTATCTCTTCTGTCTGTCTCTCTCTGTCTCTCTCTGTCTCTCTCTCTCTCTCTCTCTCTCTCTCTCTCTCTCAGCCAATACTGGGGATTGAACTTGGGCCTTTTAGTGCCTCAGGCATATGGGGCAAGTTTTCTGCCACTGAGCTACATTCCCAGCTACTATTCTATATCTTAAAGATAATTTTGATAAAATCTGTGAGTTATGAACAATCAAAAGGAATTTATCTTATTCTCCTGTGTAACATACTTTAAAGTGGTTTTATGAAAGGAATCTTTTTTTTTTTGTACTGGGAACTGAACTCAGGACCTTGCACTTGGCAGGGAGGCACAGCACCACTAAGCTGTATGTCCGGTCCTAAAAAGAATCTTGTAAGACATAAATGTTTACCTATTTAGAGACTATAGCCATATTACATGAAAGTAAATCCTTAACATCAGAATTCAACAAAACAGTATAATTCTGATGAATGGCCATAAGTTTTTTTGTTTGTTTGTTTCCTGGTACAGGGACTCCATTGTTTTCTATTAATATTATTTTCATTTAAATTTCCTAAAAGGTTTTAAAAACAACTCTGTGTTTTCTTTGTGAAATCAAGAGGATCAGTGACACTTTTCCATAATTATTTTCTCAAACTAAAAACCGTGAATCTGTTTACTTTAAATTACCAAAAGTAAAATAAACTTGATCTATTCAAATTCAATTTCACTAGTGAAAATATCTCTTTTGATAAAATAACGGATTATAATTATTTCTGGGTTAAGACCCTTTAAACAGTAGTTTACCAGTATCACTTGCAAAATAATCTCTTACTTATAAAGAAATAATCAGAAACCTCTGTTATTTGATTCTTGATATTTTTCTCCCTCCTTGAAACTGAAAACGTAATTAAAAACTTACCAACTAAGAAAAGCCCAGGCCCTAATGGCTTCACTGCTGAATTCTACAAGACACTTAGAGAAGAACTGCTGCCACTACTGTTTAAACTCTTCAAAGAAATTGAAAGGGAAGCAATCCTCCCAAATTCATTCCTGGAAGCAAGCATCACCTCAATCCCCAAAGCAGAGAAAGACCCAAGCGATGCAGATGAAAACAGCAATGAGATTCCACCTCACTCCAGAAAGAATGGCTGCTATCATAAAATCAAGCAATAACAAATGCTGGTGGGACTGTGGGGAAAGAGGAACCCTGCTCCACTGCTAGTGGGAGTGCAGACTGGTGCAACCACTGTGGAAATCAGTATGGAGATACCTCAAAGAACTAGGACTAGAAGTCACATTTGACCCCGCTATTCCCCTGCTGGGTATCTTCCCCAAAGAATTGAAAGAATCATACCACTGTGATATATGTGCACCCATGTTCATAGCAGCACAGTTTGTAATAGCTAAAACTTGGAAACAGCCCAAATGTCCATCAACTGGAGACTGGATCAAGAAAATGTGTTTTTTTAATAAAATGGAGTACTACTCAGCCATTAAAAATGAGAAATTATAGACATGTATAGCTAAATGGAAGCACACTGAGGTGATGCTCTTAAGTGAAATAAATAGGACACACATGTGTAAATACCAAATAGTTTCTCCAGTGTGAGAAACTGAAAGTGTGAATAAGAACTAAAAGGTATAACAGATAATGTGAAATAGGAAGAAAAGAGGCAAAGGGGACAGGGAAGTGGGAGGGGTAGGGGAAAGGAAAGAAGGGAATGGAATCAATATGACAAAATGAAAAAATGAAAACATTTGTAAATAGGGAGGGATGGAGGGTTTGAAGGGAGAGCAGGGGAAGGGGAAAAAATAAGAACCAAGAGGGATTATGTAAAGGTGCAAATTTCCAATGATGAATGTAACTGTACTGTAAACCTAAAATGTACCAATAAAATTAATTTTAAAAAGCTATAAATTCCTAGAAAATATTAAATTGTTTTGTCCCTAAATTTTATTAAAAACTTTTATATTTAATCTCAAAGTACCTCACACAAATTACATGTCAATTACAAAAGGAAGAACAGTAACTATATAGAAAAGTAACTCATCCAAATTATTAAAATTAATACCACCAATTGAGGGCCAACTGACTTAACAGAACATCTTTAGGACATGATACCCCTTATGTGTCAGTCCAGCCAAAAGTGGACAAGCTCATTCTAATCAAGGAAAAAGCAAATAAACATAAAATTACTAGCCTGCATTCTTTAGAAACATTAGTATCACGTGAGACAGTTAAGAAACTGTTTTAAATTCATGACAGAAAAGACAGACAATGAAATGCAAGTGTGATCCTCAATTGGATCTTGTACCAGAATGGCAAAATTTGTAGTAAGGGAGATTATCTGAACAATTAATGACATTGTAATATGAATTATAGATTCCACAGATAAGATGACAGTATTATACAAATTTAGATGTCTTAAATTGACCATTGAACGAGGGTTATGTAAGGGGATATCTTTGTTCTTAGGGAAGATGCACTAAAACATCAAAGAATAAATAATTATAATGTATGTAATTCCTCAAGTGGTTAAAATATGTACACATATATGAGGAGAGGGAGAGAGTTATAAAGCAAAATATGGCAACATGTTAAAAATTGGTGAAACTAGTGGCCTAGTGGCACATGCCTATAATTCCAGCCATTCAGTAGGCTGAGGCAGGAGGACCAGATTTTGAAGCCAGTATGGAGAATGTGGTAAGACTGTCTCAATACAAAAAATTTTAAAAAGGGTTAGAATGTAGATCAGTGGTAAAGTACTTGCTTAGCAAGTGTGAAGCCCTAGGTTCAATCCCTAGTACTGAAAGGTAAAATTGGCAAATATAGGGAGACATCAAAATCCAACATATTTCCTTGTAACTTTTCTGGAAGTTTGAAATTATTTCAAACTTTAAAAATTGGACATATACCTTAAGATTAAATGTTAGTATGAAGAATTCTACTATGAATAATTAATTAAAAACAAATTTGGCAAAATGATACAACTAGTAAAAGTGCTTTGAATGGTGACAAGGAACATGTACCAGAATGCAGATCAATATTATTATCCCTTTCTTCATAAAAAAGTCTTTCTATAGGGCCAGGGATTTAGCTCAGTGGTTCCATCGCCTCCCTTGCAAGCTCAAGGTCCTGAGTTCGATCCCCAGTACCCCCCCAAAAAAACAAAAATCAAAGTCCTTCTACAAAAAAAGTAAGCTATGCTCAACTGTACATAGTGATATTCTGGCATAAACTGGTTAACAATTAATGCACTATGACCACATTCTAAGTAGCAATGGTCTAATATACTTTTGTAATCAATCAGTAATTAACTGAACTACTTAGAAAATTATACACTTGCATTTGGAAGAACATATACCAGTTTAACTATAGATACCACACAACTGATAGGGATTTTTATTTTCTCCTTATATTTTCCAATGTTTCAATAAAGACCAATGATTACTTTTGTAACTTTAAAAGCTTTTAAAAAAGTGAAAAGATTTGTGGCAGACAGATTTCCTAGAACTTGAATCCTATTACATAACACATTTTGCCTATATGTTTATATAATGCCAAAGTTTTTCTAAAAGGACCTCACTTACAGTTGATCTTGAAGCTCCACAATGATATATTCTAACTGCTCCTTCTCCAATTTATGAGCCAAATCAGAATCTTCAATCCTTTGAAGTAGTATTTTATTCTGGGAGACAGATTCAGACAGTTGGTTCTCCCGAAGCCGTAAGAGTTCTTCAAGATAACCCTGGAAATACAGTATCACTAGGATAAGAGCAGCTGCCAAATTACAATGGATATTTTGAGGATAAAAGCTGAGTAGCTTAAGCATTATTTCTATCAATCTTGTAATGAAACAATTTCAAAACAGTACTGATGAATTAGTAAAAAACATTGCTTTAATTGACTAAAACATTAACATATATTTCCCATTCTTTAAATTTCTTTCCTAAAGTTTGAGGAAATGTGTAATTTAAGGCAAAACTTACAGCACTGTAATTTTTTGCATTGTTTTATTAGTACATATTTACCATACATAACAATCACATTCATCATAGTTTGTACCTGTGCATAATACACCTTTTTTTTTTTCAGTACTGGGGATCAAACTCGGGTCCTTGCTCTTGCGCACCAGGCACCGAAACCACTGAGCTAAATCCCCGGCCCACATAATACATCTTAATTCTTTTTTCCCATTCCCCTCTCCTCCCTTCAACCCTTCTTCGCATCCCCATTTACAAGTGTGTTTCCATTATTTCCTTCTTTTTATATTCTCAGGAAATAACTGGTACAGCAAATGGTACAAAATAGGGATCCCTGTCTTGAGAATATTTGGCAGCATCTACCTCTAAAACTATCCAAATCTGATGATTATTTTAGTAAAGGGTAGATAGATTTTAAACTATGTATTCAATTTTTAAATGGTTAAAGGTCTATCAGTTTATAAAGTAATATTTATAAAAAATTGGTCACCAATATTTTCTAAGGCATTGACATAAAGTTGATTATTAAATTATTCTCAGATAAATTCTGGGAGGGTTTCTGCTTTTTAGAGTTATGTGATCCACTTCCTTTTCATTCTCAAAATTGTCTATTTATGGCTTAACTTTATGAAAAATTATTCTTGCCAGGCTTTGTCTACTTTGTAGTAGCAAATAGTTGTTAATTTCTGTTTTTCACTTCATTATTATTTTCTCCTTCTTTTTCCCCTTAAATTCTTTTCTTGGTACATTTTAGGTATACAATACTTTTACATTTATCATTGGGTGCTTGTACCTGTACATGATGTGTCTTGGTTCTTATTTTTTTCCCCATTACCTGTGCGCCCT